ATATGTATATATATATATACATATGTATGTATATATATATATATACATACATATGTATATATATATATATACATATGTATGTATATATATATATATATATATGTATGTATATATATATATATATATATATATATATATGAAACATATATATATGTATATACATATATGTATATATATATATATATATGCGGAGCGCGTTCGTCGTCGTCTGCTCATTGTGGTCGATGGAATTGGAGGATCTCCCTTCTCCCGTCCTGGTGGAGATACTAAGTCGGCTCGGCGATTCGACCGAGCTGGCCCGGTGCCGCCTCGCCTCCCGGACCCTCCGCTCCCTGTCTCGCGACGTCCGATCCGTCCGCCTCTTTTGCTCTCGCGACCGCTTCCTCCGGTCCCGCGCCCCTGACACCCGCGACCACGACACCCCTTTCAGGTCCCTCGTCGCCAACCTCGCCTCCTTCCTCTCCGCCTCCCCCGGCCCCCTCGCTCTCGCCCTTGCAGCCGAGCGGCCCCTCTCCGCCCCCGCCGACGAGGTCGACGACGCCGACGACCTACACCTCACCGCCGTCCCTTTCCTTGCCCGGTGGCTCCCCCTCCTTGCCGCCCGCCTCCGCTCCCTCGCCATCGACGATTACTGGCTCCAGTCGTGCTGGCGCCCTTCCCAGGCCTTATCCCTCATCGCCGACATCTGTGAGCTCCATCGCTTTCCTCCTTTGAATCCCCATCCTCTAATTTTATCGATTTTGGTTCTTTTTCTTGAAATTACACTGATTATGAATGCTATTCTGTGCACACTGGAGAAATTACATGCCCTCATTGCATTCTGAGAACCAAAAAATTGAATGTATTTGCATACAATTCAAGATATTTTTGTGTTGCTTGGCCACCAGCGGTGCGTGGACATGATTTAGAAGTCAAGACCTTGATAAATCTGTTTTGGTTTTTACATAGTTCCGTGTAATTAGATCTATTCATGCTTAGAGGCCATCCAACGCGAGATCATACTGTACTACATATAAATAATTCTTCTTTTCCTTCTTTAATCTTCCTTCACATCTTGGACTTTGGATTTCTTAATGATAAAAGTTACTACCACCTCAACTTGTTCTTTTCTATCTCTATTATGACTTGCATAACAACACCTGGGATCAACTTGCAATATGAATATGCAGTTATTTTAGAGGGTCAATATGAGGTCAATATTATTTGTAAAGGAAATTAGTATGCTTAGACAAAATTCGAGTCACTAATCATGTAGCAACTAAGTTCTCAGAATTGCAACATCCACTATGGAAATTAGTATGCTTAGACAAAATTCGAGTCACTAATCATGTAGAAACTAAGTTCTCAGAATTGCAACATCCACTATGGAAATTTGTATGCTTAGATAAAATTCGAGTCACTAATCATGTAGCATCTAAAATCTCAGAATTGCAACATCCACTAAGGCACATCCAGACGTTAGCAAACATTAAACAAGCTGAAGAAGACAAGGTTCTTAAACTGCAAATTTCTTCAGGAAGGTAATCATATTGGAATTTTTTTATATTTTACTGCAAGAAAAACCCGGAGAGGATCAAGATGATTTTTTTTTCCTCTTTTGAAAATTGATCTATTCATCTTGTGAAAAATAATCCTTCATATTGTGTCAACTGTTTATGGAAAGAATTTGATTAAATTGGCAATATTATGTCTTGCTGATATCAGTAGGAGGTAGGAGATTAAATAGGTCCTTTCATCTATATCAAAAAATCCACTATTGCTGCCATATTTTAGTCATGTCCTTGGAGAGAAATATAGTCTGTATATATGTATGCATGCATATGAGTCTTCTGAAGTCGTAGGTTTTCTAGAGCTGCTCTGTTCATGTGTGATTTATCTCTACCTTGTTAAAAAATGACTGAAATTGCATGTCTACTTGCACCAATGAGTCCCTTACGAGTTCTGTAGATCTATTAAGTTCATAAGTTTGTGATCCTTGTATGGGAAAATAAAAATCATTGCAACTGCTCATTCTTTTCTCGTATGCTGTTCCGAACTAAAAGGTTGTATATGCAGGTCATGATCTTGTAAATTTGGAGGTCAGAAATGCTTGGCTGTCGGTTGAGGAGCTAAAACCAATGCACAAATTGACTTCACTGACCCTTGAATTCATAAGACTAGATGATGCAAACCTCGACAAGGTGAATGAATGTTTCCCTTCTCTCCAAGCTCTTAACTTGATCGGGGTTGGTGGGCTTAAGGAGCCCAAAATTCATCTTCTACAACTAAGGGTCTGCACGTGGACGGTTTCAAATTTTGTGCTATCTCTAACGGTATGTGCACCCAAGTTGGTTGAGCTGAAACTTAAGTGTGTTGAACCAGAGGCCCTTCATCTGGAGACTCCTCTATTATCTGAACTTGATGTTACAATCAAAAAGGCTAGAGCACCCATCGTAGTGGGAGAAAAACTCAATTTGAGGTCTCTCAGGATAGAGTCCTCGGATCTATGCAACTTGGCACAAGTGTTTGCTCCCAGTCGAACCATTAAGCGGTTGGAGTTGGAAGCGTATGGATCTAGCCACGTTGTTGATTTGGTGGAACAGTGCACTATTGATCTGTTGAGCACCTTCCCGGACATAGGTGAACTGGTATTGGGGCCAAGGGCTTGGTTTATCCTCCCAGAAAATCTCAGCCTAAGAGGCGAACTCAAGAATTTGAAGAAACTGACTGTTCATCTAGCACCAGAAGAACTTGATGCTGCAATGATTACCTGGAAATTGACCCCCTTATTGACACATGCCCGTTATTGCCAAGTTGTGATGCTTATTCCTGCTGCTGCCTCCATGGATAGCAGGACGCATGTCATTTCCAAGTGTATCAGTAATTTTCCGGGCATAAGATGGAAATGGGACACATGGAAATGTGGTTGAAACTCTCCATATTATGTCATTTTGATGCATTTATACTTCATTTGGCAGAGACATTGCATCTGATCATCAGTGGCCCATAGCAGATTGGTGGTTGTAATCAAGCTGTATGTGCATATGATAAACTACTATTTATTCTTGAGGTTTCTTTTATGTAATTATGCCTCACTTTTCATTGTCAAAATCAAATGTGAGTATTATTATACAACTTGCTGTGGTTTTGGAAAGTCAGAGATTAGAGATGAGAAATCAGCAGTGAATCATGGTGAGTCTATTTGACTGATTAAGTTATGTTGGCAAGATGGAAACTTCAGTTTGTCCCAAGTTCCAAGTACCTACTGCTTCAATCCAGTTCCCAAGTGCATGATTGTCTCTGTGTAACTCCCGAAGTGCAAGTGCAACAAAAGAGGCTTACATATTGGCATTTCAATGGTTCGGCATCATCACCAGCATATCCAAGGATCAAAACTGGCACGTTTAGTTAGGAACAGGAAGAGACTTGGGAAAAGCCTCGATGGAAGACGGTGGCAGTGTCTGAAACTTGCAATCGACTGAAATCAGCTGGCTGGGGCTGCTGCGATCAGCCGAGGCGGACTCACTGATGAGCCGAAGCAAGACTCGCTCAAGCTCCTCTGCGTTGCTCCACTCATGGATCTCAGCTCTGAGGGCCTGAGGATTGTCAACGATGAGCTGCCACAGTGGGTAGTTCTTCCTTGGCATCACGCAGTCCCCTTCGTTCAACCTCAGCGACGGGCAGTAGTCTCCTTTTCCATCGCCGAGGTAGATGAACCGCTTCCTCCCCTCGAGGAATGCTGATGCTTGAATCCTCTCGATGATTGCACTCTACGTGTCAGAGAATAGGACGAGCAGTGGAGAGGATTATACCGAATCTAATTTGCATGAGCGTTTGTAGGGCCATGCAGGAACAGAGTTCACCTTACACATGTTGGGAGGGCAGAGACAGCAGCCATGGGAAGAGGATTTGAAGTCATGGTGAGGGAAAATTCTCAGCCTCCCTTCCTCATCAACATAGCCTGGGTTTGTATGGATCTCCGAGAAATAGGCCAT